GGAAAGTCACCAAGTGGTTCTCTCAATCATCGCAAAACCCAGCTACCTGTTTCTAATGACCAAATCCCCCATTACTATTACCTGTCTCTTCCTAATAACTGGAGTTCCCTCCCTGAAGAGGTATCCTCAGTGCAAGAGATACCCTGGCATCATCTGGAAGGAGGGTACCCACTATGGGATCATTTCCCTCTGCTCCAGTTTGATGTTTTCCTTCCCTGAGATGGTCATCCTCCTCAGTACTACAGAAGCTGTCAGACCAGGGATGGGACTGTTCTTCTGTGTAAAATTAGTCTCCACAGCATAAAGTTGTTGATCTCAAGTCTAACCAACTGAATCACTCTGCAGAGATAATAGAGATCCTAATGAGTTAGAAACAACACTATTACAGGATGAGAATTTGCTTGCAACCCCAAACTCTCAAATAAGTGAAAGTATATTTAGTTGCAGAGATTACTAAGTACGAAATATTACTAAAATTGTGTATCCTTTATGTTCCTATTTATTTATCCTTATTCTGTCCTGTTAGAGGGCTGCCGTCAGCATTGTTACTGGAACCCCGTCATGCTCCCGTCATATAATGGTTAATGGCAGAAGTAGGGAGATTTGTCTGCTCACTGTACCAGAAATTAGGAGCCCCAACCCCATTCTCTACCTTCTTTAGAAGATGTCTCCTCCTAATGCGATCCCAGATTTTCAGGGTACCGGATCCTGTATTGAACAAATAGCTGCTCTGGCTACCTGCCAGTTTCAAACAAAATTAATTGTACAGCCTTACCTAACCACCAAGGCCCTGGGCTGCTAAGAAGAAAGTGGGGGAAAAATCCACACTGCTCAGGCCAATCTTGTAGTAAGGGAGAAACTTCTTTCTCAAACTCCAAAAGGTAACTAGCATGAGGCCCCCAAGCCCAGTCCTACTCTAGTGAAAAGAGGGACGGGGACAGCTTTTCTTCTCAGCACAGAATGGCAGTCTGGATCAGGGCCGGCTCCAGCTTTTTTGCCGCCCCAAGCGGCGAAGAAAACCAAAACCAAAAACCCAATTGAGCTGCCGCCGAAGAAGAAGAAGGGGAGTGAAGGACCCGTCACCTAATTGCCGCTGAAGACCTGGACGCTGAAGACCAATAACGGACGGAGTGCCGCCCCTTTCTATTGGCCGCCCCAGGCACCTGCTTCCTTCGCTGGTGCCTGGAGCCAGCCCTGGCCTGGATAGAGGGAAGGGGTTAAAGCCCTCAATGGTGGGTACACAGGAGCCATTAGACTTCTGCTTTATCCTGTCATTCAAAGAGTCAGCCCCCCTCCTCAAGCCCACAAGAAGACTGAGTGCTCAGAAGAAGGGAAGCAACCCTTAAAGGAGCCACAGGTTTTCTTTCCCCTGGGGTCTGAGGTATTATTCAAGATAATACTGGGCCCCAATACGATGCATTCAAGCAGATCATTAAGTCTGTATGATGTCCAGTGAAGTCAGTGGAGCTCTGCCAGGGCAAAGGGGTTTCTCAGCGCAGATCAAATTATGGAGTATAAATTAGTATTAAAAGACATTGTGATTGCAAAATATAATTTAATTAAAAGTCTTGGCAAATATCCATATTTTATTTTTTGCTTGGAATGATTTGTCTCAAAGACTACTAGAATGAAGGCCTCAGTGCTACTGCTGGATAATTAATAATAATAGCAAAACACTAACAAGTAGAACTAGCCTGCAAATGCTAAAAAAATTTAAATGAATTCATTTCTTTTCTGTATTTTTTTTAAGTATATAAAGCCAGTAGCCCCCTTTTCTAATACAGGAGTGCCATATGATATATTTGTTTAGACTTTTCCAAACTTACTCTGACACTGTTTTCAAAGCAACACTGTTTAGTGTGTGCTGTGACTGAGTTTGCTTCTTTAATCTTCATTTAAATAGAAAGTTACGATCCTGTCAGTGGTTAGAACATAAAGGATCCCATGGTATTTTTTCAGGACTAAGGATTTACGTACAATGAACTATCTTAATTCCCCATGCAATCCTTATTATATTGTCTAGAAATTGAACTGACCTTCATTTTATTTTTAAAAAAATCCTGTACATGTCTTTCTGCTATTATAGGACTCTGACACCTGAGGCAAAGAAGTTATTCTAAGATTTTCCTCCCCTTTGTAGTATTTAGTATTTTGTCACCATGTTTGGAAAAATATAGACATTTCCTTCTGAAATAGTTTAATACTATTGTATACAAAAAGACAAACACAAATTTGAATATGTGCGAAGCCCTAAATCTCAGATTATTTGCCTCTTTCTATTAGAGAAAACAATGACACATTCCTGGCTTGCAAAATGTACAACTTTCTATAGGAGTTCTGACAAATATGAGAATTACATTTTTCATAACTGTATTTCCCAAACTTCATTTTATTTTTTCTTTAAGTTCTGATCCTGCAATCTGCTCCATCTGGGAGCACCTTATAGTGTCAGAGCCATAATTATGGCCATGAAATTGTAATAGATACATTACAACTCAGAGTTATAAAAATGTATTCAGTTATTTAAAATTCTTAATTCTAACCCAATAGTTTTGAAACGATGCTGTTTATTTTTGTGTAACACTTAAAAGTGTGATTCAGTGGAGTTATGTTTCATGACTTCCATGATGTCTGGGTCGTCCAATAGCCACAAAACTTGCTTTAGCCAAATCCTCTCATAAATATCATCTAGTATAATGTGTATAGATGTACAGTTTCAATGGCTGATATCAGTAAGCGACTTGTCAATCAGCTAAAGAAGAGAAGCAGTGCTAAAAAATATCCTTTCTGCTATATTCCAAGACTGTGCAGAACCAACCAGAATGAACAGAATTTATGCCATTCGTTGCATAATAAGATTGTACTTATCCTTGGCAGAGTCCTGGACAGCCATGTTTTAGGACTTCATTCAAGAATCTTTTTTTTTTTTTTTTCAGCAGCAGCTCTCCCCTACAAGCTTTGCTTCGGACTCCAGGGCTATACTTCTGTGATGGATTTACTGCAGGCGTGCCCCCTTGTGGCTGAGTGTAGCATAACAAAACTCTCTTCTCTCTAGTACTCCTGCCATTGGTTGCTCTGGCTCTCTTTCCATAATTCAGCTCTCTGACCAGGTCACAATTTAGACCTACCCTTTTCGGAGTAACAAAGTCCAACAAATAAAAGTTCAAAAAGGTCTTTGGCCCTAACTCTGGGCTCTGTGTTCTTCATACCCTTCTCTCAGGGCTCTCCACTATCCTTGTTCCCTTCTTGGGCCTCATGCCACCTCATCGGTGGCTGGTAGGGGAACCACGCCTCCCACTCTATTTTTGGATTACAGCCCAGGGCCTTGTAGTAAGCAGGCAACGTTTGTCTATTCTGACCTGCCCTGGCTACCTCCCTGGGCTTCTTCCTGCCATAACCTTCTACCAGGCTTCTCCACACAACCTCTCCAGTTTCACCCTCCTCTCAGACTTGCAGGGTTCTCCCCTGAAATCCCTCATTAAATCGCAAACCAAAAGTATAAACATAAACTGAATTCCACCCTCTTCAGACTTGGCCTTTACATGGCTCTTAAATTCCATTTGCTGTTCTTCCTCTGAACACCTTCCACAGTGCTCTCCCTGTAGTCTGGATCCTGTCCTTTTATCAGGTCTTACCACTGGAGTCTGCTCCACTCCCCGTGGCTGCTTTGTCTTTCTCTCTCCTGGCCCGCATCAGACATCTCTACTCAGGAGAGGGTCTCAGGGCTCACAGTCCCTCTGGGCTTCTTCCTTGAGTATGGTGGTTTCTCTTTTCTCTTATCTCAGAGAGTGACTGTAGAGTCCTTCACACACTCCCTGCAGCCCCCTTCTGTTCTATACTTTTGCTGTTTATAATGCTTTCCCAACCCCACCTCCACAGCTGGACTTCATCAACAATTAAGCATGACCCACTCTCTAGGTGCAGACCAGTATGGTATTTGGCCTCTCAGGTCCTTATTAACCTATTCCTTGTCTATGTGGGGTATGACCCCTATCATAGTTGGCTAATATCAAACCATCTTCCTCCAGCCCTTTAGAATTACAACCAGTATCATTTTGATTACTTCAATACCAGTAGCTCCATCCTTTGAATAATAATATTGATTTTGATGTTCCACATCTTAGTACATGCTAGTGCCCTTTCCTTAACAAGTACAGTGGTAATAGCCTCAATCAGAAGTGCAAAAAAATTTGTTGAAATTGCTCTTCCACATGGCACACTACTGTGAAACCAACCTGCTGATGAACATTACCCACTGGAGAAACCTTTCTATGCTACTAAATATTTTTGAGTATTCAACCCACAGTTTCTGCACTTGTACCCATACAGTTGTAAGTGATTCTGTAGCTCAGTATGATCAGCCAAACACATATCACATAAATGTGCAGAATCATAGAAATGCAGGTCTGGAAGGGACCTTGAGAAATCATCAAGTCCAGCCCTCCACACTGAAGCACGACCAACTAACCTAGACCGTCCCTGACAGATGTTTGTCCAACCTGTTCTTAAAAACTTGCAGAGACAGGGATTCCACAACCTATCTTGAAAGCCACATCCTAACTATCCTTATAGTTAGAAAGCTTTTCCTAATATCTAACCTAAATCTCCCTTGCTGCAGATTAAGTCCATTGCTTCTTGTCCTACCTTCAGTGGACATGGAGAACAATTAATCATAGTTCCATTGTCCTCTTTATAACAGCCCTTAACATGCTCGAAGACTGTTATCAGGTCCCTCCCTGCCCCTTTTCTGAAGATTAAGCAGGCCCAGTTTTTTTCCATAGCTCAGGTTTTCTAAATCCTTCTAAATCTTTGATCATTTTGTTGCTTTCCTCCTTTGTATTTCAAAGGTATTAATTTATTTTATTTAAGTAATTAAACAAGTTTTATAAGATTTCTGTTATAAAAGAATGGATCTCTTAATGAACGGAAAAATATGTGACTATATGTCTACTGTAAAAGGTAAATTTCATAATTATAACTTTAAAATTTGCTCCTTCTAGTGTCCTGAATTCAAAAGACCCAGGGATATTGCTGTTGACTGGATTGCTGGAAATATTTACTGGACTGATCATTCTAGAATGCATTGGTTCAGTTATTATACAACTCACTGGACAAGTTTAAGATACTCCATCAATGTAGGACAATTGAATGGACCAAACTGTACAAGGTTGCTTACAAATATGGCAGGAGAACCGTATGCAATTGCTGTAAATCCTAAAAAGGGGTATGTTGTTTCTGTGGCATTTTATCATGTTTTATTCTATTTTATAAATAACAAACATACATAGAAGTTTGAACAAAGCAAACATGACTTACTGCATAATAATGTCTACAAATGTGTAAATTTGGTTAAGTTATTTAGCCTCTCTGCTTCAGTTTACCCATCTGCAAAATGAGGTTAACATCTCTTGGGTGTTTTGTGAGAGTTACAATAATATAATGTCTCTTAAATATTTTGAGATCATTCAAAGAAAGGTGCTATGTAAGTTTAAGGTGTTAACTTATGGAAATTCATGGCAACAATTTTGTTTGCTATTTTTAGGATGATGTATTGGACAGTCATTGGGGACCACTCTCACATAGAAGAAGCAGCTATGGACGGTACTCTAAGAAGGATATTGGTACAGAAGAATTTACAAAGACCTACAGGTACATGGAATTTCAAATTCCCCATTAAAAGGTAGCATTGTGCAGATTTCTTGGCTGAATTCCAATTTTGCAGTCCTAAAAAATTCTATAATTTTATATTCTAGTAATAAATATACAATTAAATATTAAATTCATAATATTTTTAAATGATGTAACTGAATCTAAATAAGCTTAACACAGTAACTTTATAAGACAATACCAAATAACTATATAGATAGAGGGAATGAACAGAACAGGGCAATTCTGAGTCATCCATCCCCTGTCGTTCAATCCTAGCTTTTGCCATTTGGAGATTTAGGGACACCCAGAGGATAGTGTTTCATCCCTGACCATCTTGGCTAATAGCCATTGATGAACCCATCCACATGAACTTATATAATTTTTTTGTACCCGGTTATACTTTTAGCCTTCTCAACATTCCCTTCACTACACAACAAGTTGACTATGTGTTGTGTGAAGACATTTTCCTTTTGTTTTAAACCTGCTGCCTATTAATTTCCTTGAGTGACCCCCTAGTTATTGCTTTATGTGAAGGGGTAAATAATTCTTCATATATTCACTTTCTCCGTACCCTCAATGATTTTATAGACCTCTATCATATCCCCCTTTAGTCATCTTGTTTCCAAGCTGAACAGTGCTAGTATTTTTAATCTTTCCTCATATGGAAGCTGTTCCATACCCCTAATCATTTTTGTTGCCCTTAGCTGTACTTTTTACAAATCTAATGTACCTTTTTTTAGATGAAGCTACCAGAACTATACACAGTATTCAAGGTGTGGGCATACCGTGGATTTATATAGTGCCATTATGATATTTTCTGTCTTATTATCTATCCATTTCCTAATAGTTCCTAACATTATGTTAGCTTTTTTGACTGCTGCTGCACATTAAACTGATGTTTTCAGAGAACTATCCACAATTACTGCAAGATTTCTTTCTTGAGTGGCAACAGCTAATTTAGACCCCATAATTTTGTTTGGATAGTTGGGATTATGTTTTCCAATGTGCATTCATAGAATCACAGACCTCAGGAGGTCATCTAGTCCACCCCCTGCTCAAAGCAGGACCAATCCCCAACTAAATCATCCCAGCCAGGGCTTTGTCAAGCCTGACCTTAAAAACCTCTAAGGAAGGATATTCTACCACCTCCCTAGGTAACCCATTCCAGTGCTTCACCACCCTCCTAGTGAAAAAGTTTTTCCTAATATCCAACCTAAACCTCCCCCACTGCAACTTGAGACCATTACTCCTTGTTCTGTCATCTGCTACCACTGAGAACAGTCTAAATCCATCCTCTTTGGAACCCCCTTTCGGGTAGTTGAAAGCAGCTATCAAATCCCCCCTCATTCTTCTCTTCTGCAGACTAAACAATCCCAGTTCCCTCAGCCTCTCCTCATAAGTCTTGTGCTCCAGACCCCTAATCATTTTTGTCGTCATCTGCTGGACTCTTTCCAATTTTTCCACATCCTTCTTGTAGTGTGGGACCCAAAACTGGACACAGTACTCCAGATGAGGCCTCACCAATGTAGAATAGAGGGGAATGATCACATCCCTTGATCTGCTGGCAATGCCCCTACTTATACAGCCCAAAATGACGTTAGCCTTCTTGGCAACAAGGGCACACTGTTGACTCATATCCAGCTTCTCGTCCACTGTAACCCCTAGGTCCTTTTCTGCAGAACTGCTGCCTAGCCATTCGGTACCTAGTCTGTAGCAGTGCTTGGGATTCTTCCATCCTAAGTGCAGGACTCTGCACTTGTTCTTGTTGAACCTCATCAGATTTCTTTTGGTCCAATCCTCTAATTTGTCTAGGTCCCTCTGTATCCTATCCCTACCCTCCAGCTTATCTACCACTCCTCCCAGTTTAGTGTCATTTGCAAACTTGCTGAGGGTGCAGTCCACGCCATCCTCCAGATCACTAATGAAGATATTGAACAAAACCAGCCCCAGGACCGACCCTTGGGGCACTCCACATGATACCAGCTGCCAACTAGACATGGAGCCATTGATCACTACCTGTTGAGCCTAATGATCTAGCCAGCTTTCTCTCCACCTTATAGTCCATTCATCCAGCCCATACTTCTTTAACTTGCTGGCAAGAATACTGTGGGAGACCATATCAAAAGCTTTGCTAAAATCAAGGAATAACACGTCCACTGCTTTCCCCTCATCGACAGAGCCAGTTATCTCATCATAGAAGTCAATTACTTTGCCTTTATCAACACTGAATTTCATCTGCAGTTTTCTGAGATCCCTTTGTAACTCTTCCCAGTCACCTTTGGACTTAACTATTTTGAGTACTTGTATACTGCAAAATTGTCTGCAAATTTTGCCACCTCACTGTTCCCCCACTTTTGCAACCATTTATGAATATGTTGAACAGCACAGGTCCCAGTACAGATCCTTGGGGGATCCCACTATTTACCTCTCTCCATTGTAAAAACTGACCATTTATTCCTACAATTTCTTTCATATCTTTTAACCAGCTACTGATGCATGAAAGGACCTTCCCTCATATCCTGTAGTCCAGTTTGGCCAATGTACATGGCAAAAGGGCATTGCTGGCACATGACGGCATATATCACATTAGTAGATGTGCAGATGAATGAGCCCCTGATGGTGTGGCTGATGTTGTTGGGTCCTCTGGTGGTGTCGCTAGAGTAGATACGGGGACAGACTAGGCAACAGGGTTTGGTTCCTGGGTTCATGTTTCTGTGATGTGGTGTGTAGTTGCTGGTGAGTATTTGCTTCAGGTTGGGGGGCTGTCTGTAAGTGAGGACTGGCCTGTGAGAGTGAGGGATCATTTTCCAGGGTAGGTTGTAGATAGTTGATGATATGCTGGAGAGGTTTTAGCTGAGGCCTGTACGTGATGACCAGTGGTGTTCTGTTAATGTGATATATGCCATCATGTGCCAGCAATGCCCCTCTGCCATGTTCATTGGCCAAACCAGACAGTCTCTACATAAAAGAATAAATGGACACAAATCAGACATCAGGAATGGTAACATACAAAAGCCAGTAGGAGAACACTTCAATCTCCCTGGACATTCAATAACAGATTTAAAAGTAGCCATCCTTCAACAAAAAAACTTCACTCTGAGACTTCAAAGAGAAACTGCAGAGCTACAATTCATTTGCAAACTTAACACCATTAATTTGGGCTTGAATAGGGACTGGGGGAGGTTGGCTCACTAAAAAAGCAATTTTCCTTCTCTTGGTATTGACACCTCTTCATCAATTATTGGGAGTGGACCACATCCACCCTGATTGAATTGGCCTTGTCAACACTGGTTCTCCACTTGTAAGGTAACTCCCTTCTCTTCATGTGTCACTATATCTATTCCTGTATCTTTAATTTTCACTCCATGCATCTGAAGTGGGTTTTTTTACCCACAGAAGCTTATGCCCAAATAAATCTGTTAGTCTTTAAGATACCACCAGACTCCTCATTGTTTTAGCACCTTGATCGTCCAGTAGCCTGAATGACTGTTTAGCAGGCTTCTTATCTCTGATGTACTTAAAATAAAATTGCTGTTAGTTTTTGTGTTGTTAGCTAGTTGCTCTTCAAATTCTTTCTTGGCCTGCCTTCTTACACTTTTACACTTGACTTGCCAGAGTTTATGTTCCTTTCTATTTTCCTCACTAGGATTTGACTTCCGATTATTAAAGGATGTCTCTTTGCCTGTAACAGACTCTTTAACTCTGCTGTTTAATCATGTTGGCATTTTTTTGGTTCTTTTACTGATTTTTTTTTAATTTGGGGTATTCATTTAGTTTGAACCTCTATTATTGTTTTTTTAAAAGGTCTCTATATAGTTTGCAGGTATTTTACCCTTGTGACTGTTCCTTTTAATTTCTGTTTAACTAGCTTCCTCATTTTTGAAGTTAAATGCTACTGCAGCGGGTTTCTTTGGCAATTTCCTCCCAGAAGGATGTTGTATTTAATTACATTATTGTCACTATTACCAAGCAGATCAGTTATATTCACCTCTCGGACAAAACCCTGTGCTCCACATAGGACTAAATCAAGACAAGCTACTCGAAGAAGCAGTCATTTATTGTGTCTAGAAATTTTGTGTCTGCATCCCTTTCTGAGATGACATATAACCAAACAATATAAGGATCGTTGAAATCCCTCATAACTGTTGTGTTTACTGCCTTTGTAGCTTTTCTAATCTCCCTGAGCATTTCACAATCACCATCACCCTCCTGGTCAGGTGATCAGCAGTATATTATTACTGCTATACTCTTATTGTTCAAATATGGAATTTCTATCCATAGAGATTCTATAGTACAGTTTGATTCATTTAAGATTTTTACTTTATTTGACTCTATTTTCTTTCACATTTAGTGCCACTCCCCCACCAGCATGACCTAATGTCATTCCTATGTATTTAGTACCCTGGTATTACCAGGCCCCATTGATTATCCTCATTCCACCAACTTTCGGTGGTGCTTTTAATATCAATATCCCTATTTAATGCCAAGCAATCTAGTTCACCCATCTTAGTATTTAGACTTATAGCATTTGTATATAAGCACTTGTACATTTTGTCTATATTCAGTTGCTTGCCTTCATGTGTTGTATTTAAATGGGAGTCATTTATGTTTGCTCCTTACTAGCTCCCACCTGTACTTTACCAACTTCTTTCCTATACTCTTTACTAGGATATAGAGTTCCCCTTTCATAAATTCATTCATAAGGGATGACTCGGCCTGAACGGTGTACTTTTCCACACCTGTCGGCTTTTTTGAGCCCTTAGTTTAAAAAATTCTCTACAAACTTTTTAATGTCACATGCCAGCAGTCTGGTTCTATTTTGGTTTAGATAGAGCCCATTCTTCCTGTATAGGGTCGTACTTTCCCCAAAGGTTCCACAGTTCCTAATAAACCTAAAAGCCTCCTCCCTACACCATTGTCTCATCCATGCATTGAGACACTGCACTTCTGCCTGTCTTTCTGGCCCTGCATGTGGAACTGGAAGCATTTCAGAGAATACTACCAGGAAGGTTCTGGACTTCAATCTCTTACCTAGTAGCCTACATTTGGACCTGTCTCCTACTTTTCCTCTGTCATTTGTTCCACAAACCCAGTTCTTCCCCTGTACTGCACATAAGTCTGTCTAAATATTTCATGAGATCTGCAACCTTCGTACCTGGCAGACAATTTATCATGCAGTTCTCCTGGTCATCACAAACCCAATTATCTATATTTCTAATAAACAAATACCCCATCTTCCTAATAACTGGGGTTCCCTCCCTAGGAGAGATATCCTCAGTGCAAGAGGGTACCTTGACATTATCTAGAAGGAAGGACTCTATGGGATTGCTTCCCTCCACTCCAGCTTTATGTTTCCTTCCCTGTGACTTTCATCCTCCTCAACACACTGATGCATCAGAGTTGGGGTGGGATCGCTCTATTGTGTCCCTGAAAGTCTCCTCTAAGTACCTATCTCTGTCCCTGAGCTCCTCCAGTTCAGCTACTCTGGCCTCGAACCCATACTGTGTCTGATGAGCTGCTTGCACCGCATACTCACAAATACCACCTACATACAAGGTAGATAATTGTACATGCTGCATTCAGTGCAATAAATTGGATAGCCCCCACTCTGCTGCTGGACTTCTGTGTGTATTATTCTTATTCTTGCAGGTGTTTTGGGGGGGTAGGCAGGAGGAGAAGGGAGTTATTGACCTAAGTTTAGCGTCTGTTTGTTAGCTGTATCTGCCTCTTGCCCTTGCTAAACTCCCTCATAAAACTCCCCTGTTTGTTGCTCCTGTTATCCCTGAGTTAGCCCTCCCATTTATCAAGGGATCATAAGGGGGTTAGGGATCAAAAGATAGCAGGCTGGAGCCTCATTAGTAAGCTCTCAGCCTAGCCTAGCAGGCCACTTGGCTCGGCACTCAGTCCCTAAAAAAAGCCACAAAACGATCTTCAAGCAAGCAAGCACACAGCAAGCAAGCAAGCACACAGCAAATCTATCTATAAATCAAATCTAAAAAAATGTATATGTAGCCTTACAGTCTATTATAGTTTACACTGTTTGCAGAGACAATCTGTTCCACCTTGTGTTTAGTTAAGAAACTCTCAGTACCTTTCCCAGACCTGAAGAAGAGCTCTGTGTAGCTCGAAAGCTTGCCTCTTTCACCAACAGAAGTTGGCAGTAAAAGATATTATCTTACCCACCTCAGTCTATCTGTAGTTAGTTTGGTGAATACTGTGCTAAACTTTAAAATCCATTTATTTTAATAAACGTACAAAAAAGAGATGTAAAAAGAAATGACAGCTTAATGTATTGTTCTCCAAGTATTTAACAGAAGAACTGTAAGCTTAACAAGAAAAGTAACAATTAAGATCATTTGAGTTATGCAGTGCTAAGGCTACAGACAGAAAGCTCAAAATAGAAAATGCCAAAATACAGAATGAAATGAACATAATTAAATAACAAAATACACTTCTATTCCTCCCTTCATGGCCAGCTCCAGGCACCAGCGCAGCAAGCACATGCTTGGGGTGGCCAATGGAGAGGGGCTGTCTCTTTGGCAGCAATTCGGTGGCGGGTCCCTCTCTCCCTCTCGGAGGGAAGGACCTACCACTGAATTGCCGCCGAAGAACAACGCGGCGGCGGTAGAACTGCCGCTGATCGCGGCTTTTTTTTTTTCCTTTTGTTTTTTGCCCCTTGGGATGGCAAAAACGCTGGAGCTGGCCCTGAATCCCTTAGTCTGTTCAAGCCCCTCTCCTCCCTCATTTCTCCATGTTTAGACTGAAACAAGAATAATAATAGTTACTGTTAATCTATTATAAATCATCTTTATATCATTGTCTATTTATGCTATATTTTACAAATCTAAAACAGACTATATTCCTTGATTTGGATATTAAAACCGAACAACTCATGGCATAGCAAATTTCAGCTAAGGGAGGTTATGAGGAGAATACTCAAATTCTTGTGGCATATCAAGCTGCCACAATCAGGGCCAGCTCTGGCTTTTTGGCCGCCCCAAGCAAAAAAAAAAA